ATGGCATGCACCCAGAAGAGTTACACATTGTCTCCACATATCTTATTTAATGACAGCATGCTGATAGGATTATCACTTAAAGATCCTTTATAGTTAAAAAATGCCGATGAATTGTAGCAATTGCATCACTCTGGGGTGGGGGGGGGTGTTGATAGTGGAGGAGGCTAAACGTGTGTGGGGACAAAGGGTATATGGGAACTCTCTGTACTTTCTGCTCAATTTTGCTGTGGACCTAGAATTGCTCTAAAACTAAAGCCCATAAAAGTAATATAAATTTATGACATGGCAACTGCCAACAGCAGCTATAGAGATATCCAGCATTATGCAGTAAAACAGATATTTCTCAAGTAATCTAGAACATGATGCTGTAAAGAACTTGAAATTTGATAACAGAATACCTGGCTTCCAGCCTGGGTTTTACTGGTTGCATGATCTTTTTAAAATTTATTTTTAGAGAGTGAGGAGGGATGAGGGAGGGAGGGAGGGAGAGAGAGAGAGACAGACAGACACACACACACTGATCAGCTGCCTCTCATATGCCCCTTACCAGGGATTGAGCCTGTCCCCGGGCATGTGCCCTGACTGGGAATCGAACCAGCAACCTCTCTGTGCATGGGGCAGTGCCCAGCCAACTGAGCCACACTGACCAGGGCTGGTTGCTTGATCTTGAGCAAGTCACTTAATCGGATTTTAGTTTTATCATCAGTAAAATGAAGATTATGATGTAGACTCTGTGCACCTCCTGGGGCTGATGTGAAGAGCAATTGAGGGCAGGCCAGTGGAAGCCGTTTGTAACCCTGTGATATGTCCTAGAAACGATACTGTTGTAAACATAGCTCTGACCCAAGAGTTAACCCGAGGGGAATAGTCTGCATTCAGAAGGAACCTCCTCCTCATTTCCTGCCAAACCAACATTTTGGTTAGAGGCAGGGAAATAGTGTCACTGGAAACAGGGGGGAGAGAAGAGGCAGGGATGAGTCTTTGAGAATGAAGTAAAATGAATAAAACACATAGAAAATGCCCTAGTTTGGCCTTTGCCTTTTGATGCCTAGCTCATTCCTGGCAATGTGTACTTCCCTCCTCCTACTGGGGTTACCATTTATGTAAATTTCTTTATTTCCATTTCATAAATCAAACTGCGTGTGATTACTTGGGAAACAGAGAATGCTTGCGGGCGCTGTGCACGGGCGAGGCAAAGTCAGCTGTTGCAACCCCAGATGCGGATTTGATGCTATTGGTATTTCAGCGGTGAAATGATTGTGAAGTAATAATTACAAAGTCACTCTGGAATCAAGACAATCAATTGTAAAACTTCCTTTTCACCGTGTATGTTGCAACCTGAATAATTAGAAGATGTGGCTGTCTAACAGGTCTCAGCTCAGTCTACCGCACCCCAACAATGGGTGTGGAGGGCTGCTGTAACAATATACCACAAGTGGGGCGGCTGCAAACAACAGTTATTGTCTCACAGCTCTGCAGGCCGGAGGTCGGAACCAAAGCGCTGGCCAGATCCCGCTCTTTCTGAAGGCGCTGGGGGAGGAGTTGTTCAGGCCTCTCCTAGCTCTGGTGGCCTCAGGCGTTCCTTGGCTCACAGATCCATCGTTCCAATGCTGTCTCTTCATATGGTGTTTTCCCTGTGTGTGTGGTTTTTAATTTAAAATATGTTTTTATTAATTTTAGAGAGAGGAATGGAGAGAGAGAGAGAAACATTGATCGGCTGCCTCCTGCACGCCCCACACTGGGGATAGAGCCTGCAACCTGATTGAATCAAACCAGCGACCCTTTGGTGCACGGGATGACACCCAGCCAACTGAGCCACAGCAGCCAGGGCTCTCTGGGTGTTTTCACATCTTCCCTCCCTGTGTCAACATTTCCCCTTTATAGGGAGGGACACCATTTACACTGGGCTACGGCCCACCCTGATGACTGTGTTTTAACCGGATTACCCTGGGAAAGACCCTATTCCTGAGAGGTTACATTCCGAGGCTCTTGGGAGACACGACGGGTTTGGGTTTCTCACCAAAGAAGGCATGTGACCTCCTCAGTATTTACCGTGTGTGTGACCAGGGAGCTCTCTGATCACCTCGTTCATACGTCCAGTGGCCGTGGTTCTAAGTCTGGCAATGTCCTCGACATTTTGTACTGATTTTGTTTTATAATCTGTAGAGAGAAGTAACTGAATTGTACACTGTGCCCTTGATTTAAATGATATTGTCATGCTTTAAAAGGCACCAGATCACTAGTTAAAAAACCACATTTATCATAAGATACAGAACTGGGAGTTAGCTGTATGCATGCAAGACTTAAGACTTACAGAATCTGCAAACCAAGACGCTAACGCCCATTTTTTGTTGTTGGCTAAGTGCATAGAAATCCGTGGTCAGAGCAGAGCTAATGCAGAAAGGACTCCAGAGGAGGAGGTTTATGTTGGGGTTTGAAGGGAGGAAAGCGGTATTTGTATTAGTAGAGAGGTTGGGCAGCGTTGGCCTGAAAAGGGAAACGTGACATAAAACTTCAGAGAGTGGGATGGCCATTGGTAGGTGGTGGACTGCGGGCCTACATTCTAGACACTTGGAACATCTCAGTGAGCAAAACATAAAAAAGCCTGCCCTCGTGGAGCTTACATTTTGGTGTGTGTGTGTGTGTGTGTGTGTGTGGTCGTAGGAAACAGAAAACGAAGAAGTAAATATTATAAAGTGATTAGTACTTCAGAGAAGGAGCAAGTGTGTGGTAGGGGAAGGACCACTGGGAACATAAGAGGGAGGGTGGTTGCAATTGCACACAGGTATTCAGAGCAGCCTCGCTCAGCACGGAACAGCTGAGCAAAGACTTGAAGGATGTGAGGAACCCTGTGGCTCTCTGAGGAAGAACATTCTAGAAAGCGAGAAGCGCCAGTGCAAAGGGCCTCAGGGAGGAAAGTGCTGAGATGTTTGAGGAACTGTCAGGTGGCCATCGTTGAAGCAGGTGAGCAAGGAAGAGAAGCAGGAACAAGCCCAGTGTTGGGACTTTTGTTCTAATGAGGGGACCGGGTGGTCCTTGTAGAGCTGAAGTAGAGGGATGTAATGATAGGACTAGTGTTTACAGAGGGCCTCCTTGGCTCTCTTGGAGGCAGGGTTAGAAGCAGACAGACCCTTTAGGAGGCCATCGGGTAACCCAGGTAGGAAATAATGGAGCCTGGACCAGGGTAGTAGCTGTGACAGTGCAGAGGGAATGGACTGGATTCTATACAGTTTTCTTAATGGCTTTCTTGTAGCCAATCGGATAATCTGGCAGTTTGAATGTGGAGAGTGGGACTCAGTGTGACACTGAGGCCTGTCCTGAGCAGCTGGAAGGATGGAGTTGTCATTAGCTGAGACACAGGAAGGCTTGTGGGGGCAGTGTGTTTGTGGGACAGGGTAGGGAAAATCAGGAGTTCAATTTGGGACATATATGTTTGAAAAGTTTGAAATGTTTATTAGACGTCCAAATGGAAATATAAAATAGGCAGTTGTGTATATAATTCTGGAGTTCAGAAGGGCTTGAGATAAAAATATAAATTCGAGAGTCACTGGAATATCTTGGATGAGCTCTCCAAGGGTGTGACTGACAATAGGAAAGAGAGAATCCAGGACTGAGCTCTGGGACCTTCCAGCATTAAGGGGAGAAACAAGAGGAAGAGACGGAGAAGCAGTAACCAGTGATGCAGAACAAAGAGCAACAGTAGTTTGGCTGTGGCAGAGGGTGCATAATCTGTTAAGACAAGACAAGGAATTAATCTCCAACATTTATAGGGAACTCATACAACTTAATAAAAGGAAGATAAACAATCCAATCAAAAAATGGGCAAAGGACCTAAATAGACACTTTTCAAAAGAGGACATTCAGAAAGCCAAGAGACATATGAAAACATGCTCAAAGTCACTAATCATCTGAGAGATGCAAATCAAAACAACAATGAGGTACCATCTCACACCTGTCAGAATGGCTATCATCAACAAATCCACAAACGACAAGTGCTGGAGAGGATGTGGAGGAAAAGGAATACTCGTGCACTGCTGGTGGGAATGCAGACTGGTGCAGCCACTATGGAAGACAGTATGGAGTTTCCTCAAAAAACTAAAAATGGAACTCCCATTTGACCCTGTGATCCCACTTCTAGGAATATATCCCAAGAAAACAGAAACACCAATCAGAAAGGATATATGCACCCCTATGTTCATAGCAGCACAATTCACCATAGCTAAGATCTGGAAACAGCCTAAGTGCCCATCAGTAGATGAATGGATTAGAAAACTGTGGTACATCTACACGATGGAATACTATGCTGCTGTAAAAAAGAAGGAATTCTTACCATTTGCAACAGCATGGATGGAACTGGAGAGCATTATGCTAAGTGAAATAAGCCAGTCATTGAAAGAAAAATACCACATGATCTCACTCACTCATGGATAATAAAGACCATTATAAACTAATGAACAAAAATAGATACAGAGGCAGAGCAACATCAAACAGACTGTCAAACTACAGC